CCAGTGAAACTTAAGTTCCCAGACGCGTACGGGGGGAAGAAGGACGAGAACTTTGACAACTGGGAGGCCAGTGTCAATAGCTTCATTTATTTACAACATATCTTGATGGAGGAGCAAGTCCTCGTGGCCTTCCAGGCCCTGAAGGACGAAGCGGCTAGTTTCGCTAGGTCTCTAGCGCGCACAGCCGGTTGTGAAAACAACCTGGTTGCGTATTCCAAAGTCACTCCTCTTTCTCAATTCCTCAAGCTCCTCAAGGAGCGGTTCGTTGACCCAACGCGAGGCATTAGAGCCTCTGATAAGCTCCAAACGATCCACTCGCGGCAGTGGAGGAGTGCTAAGGCACTCAAGAGTACTATGGACGACTTGGTAGCCGTCCCTGACCACGGGGTCACCGAGCCCCAGTTGGTCAAGTTGTTTTATCGTGCCATCCCAGATGCCCTACGCGAGCATTTCTTTGATAAATCTCAGCAGCCCGGCATGACTTACGATGTATTGAGTAGAGAAGTCGTCCTGAGTGAGTCGAAGTCTATGCCAGTTACCACTTTCTGGCACAAGGACCTGGAGAAGGGGAAGAAGTGGAAAGATCGTACGATCTCGGGCCAAGTCAAGGCCAAGGATCACTTGATCCTGACATTAGAGGAGGGTGGTACAGAAGAGGTCTCATATGATCAGATTGAGTGGGGCCTAGGGGAGGAGTACAGTTGTGTAGGGTAGGGGAGGTCTTACGCTGCTGTCGCGGCCGGAGGGAGACCGCAAGGTAGAGGAGGAGGCCAGGGCCAAAGGGGCCAGGCCATAGGAGGCCGAGGACCGGGCGCACAAGGGGTTGGCGGACAGGGAAATCGCCAAGCGGGAGGTAGGGGTCAAGGTCCCCCGTTAAATCGCCAGGGTAACCGGTCCCCATAACGAGGAGGTGGAAGGGCGCCTCAAGGAGGATGGCACCCAGGCTTGCCGCAGGGCAGACCCTGGGAAGATCTGGGCTTGGACCAGCGCTTATGGCAGGAACGCGTGAACATGGGTCAGTGCGTATTCTATGGTGACCCGGCCCACGTTATCAATTTTTTTCCGAAGTATAGACAAGCCCATTGGGTTGCCCAACAGTCAAAAGGCAGCCGCCAGTAGGGGTCGCAACTGCCCCTACTTCAAGGCCTTGTGGAGAAGTGAGCGGGCGCGAACAGGACACCCCCAACCCACATGAGCCTATAGCAGAGGTTGCAGGCCCGTGCCTAGATAGTTGTCCAGAGACTGCTTGTGTTAGCGTCTCTTTAGGCACGTCCCTCACAGGTGTGGCAGAAGAATTAAAGGAGAGGATGCCAGCCTGGGCCAAAATGAAGAAGGAGAGTAAATGACAGCTGATTTTGGTAGATGTAAAGGTGTCTAGGAGTAGGGTAGGGGCCCTTATAGATTCAGGAGCTACCCGTAGTTACATTAGCCGTAGGGCGCTGAAGAAACTGAGGCTAGGACTAAAGGTCCAAAAGCTAGTAGACCCCATAGTCAGTGTCCTCGCAGACAACCGCACGATGCGCGTTGAGGACTACGTAGAGGGAGTCCAGGCGTACTTTCGCTTAGAGAAGGATGGGAAGATGGAGAAAGTTCTCTATTCCCTGACTCTCCTCGTGCACGATGACCTTCCTTTCGATGTAGTGTTAGGAATGGATACCGCAAACAGAAGTTCTCCGTGCAGGCGCAGGTGGTCGTGGATTTGGATTTGCGGATCCTCGACGTCCACGTCAGATACCCTGGAAGTGTGCACGACGTCCGTGTCCTGCACAATTCCCAGTTGTTTAGGCGTGCAGAAAGTGGCGAGTTGTTCGACGCAACTCCGGAGAATCTGCCGCATGGTGTCGTCACGCGAGGCTACCTGCTGGGCGACAACGGTTATCCAGTTGCCTGTCCGTGGATTGTGTCGCCGTACGGAGGAATCGACCAAGGTGCTGACGAGGAGCGCTTCGACACGCGGCAAAAGGTGGCACGGGGGTGTGTGGAGAGGGTATTCGGCCGACTCAAGTCCACGTGGCGTCTGTTCTTGAGCACCCATAAGACGAACCTAGAGACCTTGCCACAACAATTCGTGGCTGTCTGCACTCTCCACAATATCCTCCTGGACGCAGGGATCGACTTCGACGAGAACCTTTTGTGGGAGGTGGATGCGAATGGCGTTCGGCGTAGAGTGGACTTGGGCATTGTGGGGAACGACGCAGGCGCGCGGGGATGGTGCACGAACGTGGAAGGTGAATTGTTGAGGGATGCATTGCGAGACTGCCTAGCTTTGATGTAGGACCGTGCGGTAGGGAGGTGGTGCACACGGGGTGGTTCGATCGGTAGGCGGTTGGAGTTATTACGTGGTCCGTGTCCATGGTCGTCGTGTGCGTGGTTGGTTGGTCGATGGAACGGCGGCATGATTGTCGTCGACGATTTCAGATTATCGTTTTCATGATGTTGATGGCTACCTAGTTCGCATAGTTGTGCAAAGTTTAAAGATTGGAAGAACCTTTTGTTTGCCAGTGTGTGTCCTCGTCGTTAGGAGTTTTTGTCTTGTTATATATGTTTCCTGTCTTCAAATCGTTTGTGATGAACGGTGTCGTGCGATGGGAAACACGATTGTTGCTGTTGTTTTTTTTTTAATCTTTTTTTTTTGTTTTTGGAAATGTTGATTATCTTTATCTTTTTTCGGTGCATATCTTCATTTCCGTTTCCATGACCGATTTCGTGTGCTGAGTGAGGCAACGGTGGAATGAGAGAGATCTGCGTGCGCGCGCGCGCGCGCGCGTGTGTGTGTGTGTGTGTGTGTGTGTGTGTGTGTGTGTGTGTGTGTGTGAGAGAGAGAGAGAGAGAGAGAGAGAGNGTGTGTGTGTGTGTGTGTGTGTGTGTGTGTGTGTGAGAGAGAGAGAGAGAGAGAGAGAGAGAGAGAGAGAGAGAGAGAGAGAGAGAGAGAGAACCGGCCCACACCTCGGACGTCATTCGAGCACAAATGCAATACCAGGTCCACGTTTTAGTTACTATTTCGGAGTAACAAGTGGTTTTCTTTCCTTCTCTTTTTTTATTTTGGTGAGAGGGCGGGGGGTTCTTGGTGGTAACTGTCGGATTTATCTACCATCTGTTTGTTGCGACTTCACACTGGCAGTATAATGCCGCACGCAGTAAAACAGCAAAAAAAAAAAAGAATTGTGCACACAGGAATTCGAGATCTGTTATCCTGAATGGGGCTTTTTTTTTCCCTGTAAGTGTTTTATATGAGGGCACATGTTCGGTACTATATGGAAGCTAGCCTTGTATGCACTGCCAGAACACCCTTTCCGGTCTCGAGGTGGGGTAATGAGCAGTGTGCATGGGCTTTACAGTGGCTTGATAGTGCCCACACCCTTTGTTTTCTTGGCGTAAAGGGCACTTCAGCGGTGAATTAGGTGCGAAGAGCTGAAAGTCGTCAGCTCAACTCATTTTTTGTGTATTTTTTACTTTTTAAGTTTTTAACCCTCGAGTTTTTTATCCTGTTTTCATTTTTGTATTGTTTGATGCCACGTACAATGCACAGTTCATCTCAGGGCCCAAGTCCCACATGGCCCTTGAGACCGATCCCCGGGGCAGATCGGACGCATGGAGGAGCGGCTGGTTCTAGTGTAATTTTCAGGTATGGAAGAATACCGTTTTTCTTTTGCGTGTAAATAGTTTTGTAGGAATAAAAAAACGATTTTCGGGAAAGGGTCTCGTCAGGAAATGTGAAAATGCTCCAAGGACCAGTCCTAAAATTTTCTGAGCTAAAAAAAAAAACAAAATAAAATAAAATAAAATTTTCTGAACTCCTTTCATTTGTAATAAAAGCTAATTGTGAGGATTGAGCCCTCAAGTAGGGGCCTTGCCATGATGTACATGTTCTGGGCTAAGGCCCCAGCAAGCCTCGTGCCCGCCCTAAGTAAAGGCGGGCCAGCAAATGAACAAGAGCCCTCTGTGCCAACATTTCACGAAGTGGGGTCCATACAGTTGCAGCACGCCAGTTGGTTGGAGTGCTCCGAGTCTCGGATTTCAGCAAATGCTGAAAGCCCAGGGCCTCTGAGTTAGTTAGGCCCTGGGCACTCGAACGTGAGGCCGACAATGCATGCTGGGTATAGAGGCCGAAAATGCCAAAGGGAAATCGGCCCACTATCTGAATCTGGCATCAGGCCTTGATGAAAGAGGCACAACTGCATTGCCCCGGGGCCCTACTGTATCGGGTTGGCTTCAGCCCCTGGGTCCCGGTCACAGGCTGAAGGGAGGCCGCCCACACGCTGCACTGGCATATARGCAAGCAGGGCGAGTGGGCAGGGATCTTGGCCATTGCGGGCAATGCCGGCACGCTGCGCAAATGCGAGCTGCTGCTGCTGCTGCGCTGCGCTAAGAGAGGTGCAAGGCAGGTCAGCGCTAGGCGGTCGGGCGCTGCCTGCGCACCAGGGCACTGGCGGCCATAGCCGGGCCGCATGAGGGTGCAGTGAGGGTGAAGGGCGAAGGTGGTCTTCGGAGGTGAAGGGCGCTGTGTGGGTAACAAGGGAGAGTGTGGGGAAGAGGACACGTACCTGGGGGAGGTGGAGGTCGGCATTGGTGTTGACATCATCACTCGCTGGTAGTCAAGTTGTCTGGTTGCTTTCATTGCTGTAGTTGTAGGCTAGGCTGTAGAGTAGATAGGGCGCCTGGCGCCATTCACAAGAGAGAGNAATGCCGGCACGCTGCGCAAATGCGAGCTGCTGCTGCTGCTGCGCTGCGCTAAGACAGGTGCAAGGCAGGCCAGCGCTAGGCGGTAGGGCGCTGCCTGTGCACCAGGGCACTGGCGGCCATAGCCGGGCCGCATGAGGGTGCAGAGAGGGTGAAGGGCGAAGGTGGTCTTCGGAGGTGAAGGGCGCTGTGTGGGTAACAAGGGAGAGTGTGGGGAAGAGGACACGTACCTGGTGGAGGTGGAGGTCGGCATTGGTGTTGACATCATCACTGGCTGGTAGTCAAGTTGTCTGGTTGCTTTCATTGCTGTAGTTGTAGGCTAGGCTGTAGAGTAGATAGGGCGCCTGGCGCCATTCACAAGAGAGAGCTACATTTGGGTTATGCTGTTGGTGTTGCCCTATTGGGCATGGACATTGACTCACGATTCTTCTGTATCATTCTCAATGGGATGGTTACTCGGTTCCATGTGCTATCTGCTTTGGCTTTGACTACTTGGACTTCAGTGTGATTTTGCATTCTGGATTTCTGTGCTTCGTCCGTATTCATGTTCCTTGCAATTTGGCATCAGAGCTGGTTTGATCGACACTTACCTTCGGCATGCTGGTGTTATACAGACTTGGTGCGTTGACGATGCTTCTTCGCAGTGGGTACTTGTGACGTCAGGCCACGTTAGGTGCACGCCCTGGGTAGAGAGGGGTGCACCGGAAGGCTATTACGACAGTATATGCCGTGGGATACAGCGGAATGTTTGATTGATGATGAGAGCATGCTGATGTGGCATTGGACTAAGGTGGCACTGCATTGCGTTGTTAGTGGTACCGAGGTCATGACCGGTCATCAAATGCAACATCAGCTCAATTGGTGAGAAAATCTGTGGTTGGGGGCAGCTATCTCTAGGTACGTTGTTCCCTTACCTTATCTATTCTCTCAATCTCTTCTTACCGTGAGGAAGTGAGTCCAACTTGAGAGTCCTCTCTTTTGGTGAGGTGTCGTGAGCGCGCTACCTTGAGAGACGACAATCTTCTCGGAAGCATACTCGAAGGAGAAAGGGCGGTGCCTCTGAAGGGCCCTGGTCGAAGCACTGGGTCACGGTCCCCATGCCAACCCACAGGGAGTAGTGCACGCATGCGATGGCTGCTGTCCTGTTTTGGCACTTGCTGCGCTCAGATAGAAGTCTTGCCAAGTGTGCCAGCCTTGTATGAGACGCTTACCAGACCGTCTATAAACATTTCTGGTTGGGTACTCGGTATGATTCTGGCTGTGATCATCGTCCTGACTGCGACGTTAAAGAATTCCTAAAGAGATGGGGGCGCTCTTAATAATCCTCTTGATCAGCCAGATCATCCGGGTGTAAGGCTCGTTTCCGTATGAGGGTAAATAAGAGTGGGCTGGCTGACTTACTTGGCTCTGACTTGGGCACAGGGGTGGGCCGATACACACACGAAAACACTGCTTTGCTCAAGATGCTGTTCGGTATGTTGGATTGAGGGGAGGGTAGGTTCCAATTGGTGCTCAACTGTGTACACAACTATACCCATCAATCATACATCTGCTACATTGTCTTTTTGTACCTTTGATTAGTTGGTTGACGGACTGCTAACCTCACAGACAGATTAGTGTAGGACTGTTGTATGCTGCCATAGCCAGTTCTAACTAATGCTGCTGTAAGTGAACCAATCAGGGTGCATCTAGACTATGTAGATAATCTGTGTGAATGTTGTAGACATGCCACTTGATTCGGTATAGTAGGGAACTCGCCGGACACAACCATTTATAAAAAACTATGTGCCGGTCAGATACATGCTGCGGTATGATTCCATTAGGGGATTCTAGTGCAGATACTATCTGTTTACCTAATGAGTGGGTCAGACCCTGTTGATGATAGAGCTGACGTTAGGAGACTAACACGTGCACAGGCACTAAGGGTACCGCACGTGTTCCAGGCCTTGGAGCAGGGAGAAAAAAGACGGTTACGTAGAGCCCGTGCTCTAGCAGGGGGGATAGCAGCAGCAAACGCAGCAGCTAGAGAGCAGGCATCAGCAGCCAGAGCAGCAGCGATGGCTAATGGTGCAAGCTCTGCTGCGTCATCATCTGCGTCCTCGTCAGGGACTAATGGGGGCCAGTTGGGAATGCCAACGAGTTCCACAAGTTCCTCGGGCACTTCCGATTCCACAGGTTCTAGACAGTCTTCTAGTCAAATGGCGGGTGCGCAGTTCAACCCGTTGACCCCGCGTGAGAGGGAGCTCAGAGAGATCCAGCAGGTCGAGAGGCTCCGCCGTAAGTGAGAGCAGGATCTGAAAGAAGCTACCGATAGAAAAACTACGATGAAAACTAGAGCAGCCAGGCTTGAAACTTTAGAGGCTGACAAGGCTGAAGTAGAGGGCTTGGATGAGTCAGCATTGACTGACCCGCTAAAAGTATTGAAGAAAAATATGTTGTCATTGCACGCACACGTGGACAACAAATTAGACTTCATGCAGAGAACTCTAGACCAGATCCTGGATGCATTGACAAGGCCAGGATTCCGGCCACCAGCACAATCGTCGTTGCCGTTATCGGCGATGTCAGCCCCCTTTCCAGTTCAAGCTGGTACACAGCCAAGTGGTACGTCTGCAGCAGTCTCACAGACTATTGCGTCTTCTTCTTCGGGTCCAGCG